TCCTCTTCCTCTTCCTCTTCCTCTTCCTCTTCCTCTTCCTCTTCCTCTTCCTCTTCCTCTTCCTCTCTAGTCTTTTCATTTGAAGACAGTCACTATCATAGAGAAAAGCAAAAGCAGAGAGAAGCTATATTAACGGAGGGAAAAATGTCCTGGGGATTTCCCATCATGTATCCTCTTACAAAGAATTATGAAAAACTTTAAAAGGCTTGAAGGAGAATATAATGCAACCTGGATAAAAATTAAAAACTGAATATAATGCAGAATAGTTCTAACAAATTCATAGCATGCCTCTCTAATGACTGCTTTTGATTTTTCCATAAATAAATTAATTTGACTTAAATAACTGATGGTAAAGAGAGAACAGAGAAATTGTAAGATGGATGAAAAACTCACAAAACACAAAAGTGTATTGTCTAAGAGATTTTAGTGGAGTTTCTATAAGAGAAATTTGGGACTCAGTGTTTTGAAATTTTTTATTAAGGTTCTTAGTAAAAAATTGAAAATGTGAGGATGAAATCAAGCAGTATTACAAAATAATTAAACGCATTCCGAATGAAGAAGAAAAGATCAACCAAAAAAAAAAAAAAAGAAAAAAAAGAGAGACATTTGTCTCTGAAGTGCATTCAAGGCTGGTGAACATTGTCTAACAAAGAATGCCAGAAATTCTCAGGCTGTCTCTTGACACCAAGTCATAGTGCCTATCTCAATTCAACAAGATGCTTGAGTCCCTTCCATATAATTAATGGCCATTTTGCCAACTTTTTGCTGGCTTGATTGCAAACCAATTCACTCCATACTTAGTCCAAAGGAAATGGTCCAGCTATGCACTTGGCACTGGTATCTGGAGATTAAAAGCTTGTTACATACTTCTGAGAAAATACCTTATTTTATAGGTGAAGACTCATTCACAAGCTCTGTATAGGACCTTATTAACAACTTCTTGTCATTTTCTACAACCACAACATTAGATTAAAACTTATGCATATACCAAGTTTAAAATATGAAAGAGTAATGCTCATTCTTATCGAGGTCAGTTCTTCTCACAGATACCCAGGAGATGAGGAAATGTATTCCTATTCCAAGCTACTCATGTCAGTCCTCACATAACCCCGAGGAACCTTTTCTTCAGGGATCACAAAGTGTATGTGGCTGCTGCATCCTGGCTGCCAAACTCCCTGCTGCTTCCACTTAAGTAGAAAAGTTTTAGCAGTTACTCTGTGCTATGAAATTTACATTGCTTTTGCTACATAACCTTTCCTGGCTGACAACTGTCTGATTGCTGTGCTTGAGATAGTGGGACAGGCTGACCCAATCAAGGCATGTGTAGAACCAGAGTTCAAGGAGGTTTGGGGTTTGTTATCAGAAGAAGGTTCAGCCAAACTTAGTTCTGCTCCTGTCAGTCAGATCTGCTCCTTTCCCAAACTGAAATGAAGTTTCTGGCAGCGACTGCAAACGTGAGAGAATTATACTGGTAGAAAAGACACGCTTTGTGGCAAGATTTAATTCATTAACTATAATAAGCAGGATTATGCTGGTATAATTTTCTCCCAATTTTATTTTTCTTGTTTTGTTTATGTAAAAACAATCAAGAAATCTGGATAGTTTATGCATTAATAGGTTAGTACAATTAGAAAAACAGCCATAAATCTTATATTGAGACATTAATTTATCCCAATGTAATTGGAACTGCACAAGAAAGTGAAGTGGTGAAAGGGCCATTTTGATTCTTAGATGTCCTGATGTCCTGAATTTGGGAGTACATCTGTCATCTAATTAAACAAACTTTACTCAGTGAATGAAAAAATATGGAATTAGATCTTCATGGAAATTACCATGTCTTTTAAGTCTCCTGAAACGCCAGGCATTATTCCCAAAGATGAGGCAGGTTAATGAAGGTGGAAACCTCCTGCTATTCAGGACACCTCTGAAACTGCATACTTTAAATTGTGTGTTTATGCAATACTACCTATTTGTAAAATAATAGTGAGAATCATAGGATTATTGGTAAATTCAAGTAAATCTGGGATGGTGCATCATGCTGTATGTTTCCACTGGAGCTTGTAAAATAGTGGTTCTTCAGTCTCGTTTTTCACCTTCATTTCCAATCCAGGCCCTACTTTTATCAGAGTTCAGGGAAAATATGCTCATGAAACAGTTAACAATAGTATTTTGCTTTTCATCACCACCTGCCAATGGTAATTGAAGAGTTGCAGAGAATAAATTTCAAACTAAAAATGCAAGACTGTTCCCAAGATGCTGAGCTGGTACAGTGGAAAAACCCAGCAGCTGAATATTCTCACTATTTGACCAAGATGAGTATAAACAGCAATTCAGTGTTTTTAAATGAGAAGCAAATAAAACAAGATTAAGAGCATGACTATATCTTCCATACCTCATCATATGCTTGTTTTTTATGTTCCACATGAAATTAGTAATAATTCCACCCTTGTGAAAAGTGTTCCACAGAAATGAAAGAATATCCTGATCTCCTACATGCAGAGAGGGTAACATAGAAACTGTTGCAGAATTATTAAGGCAACGTGGTAATAGCCAGAATTTCCACCTTATCAACTCTGCCTGAAGGGCAGAAGCAGTCGGGATAAAGCTGAAAATTTTCTGGCTCTTTCTGGCTGGATTTTTTGTTTGAAATATTTTGTTTTATAAATCAATAACAGTAAGCCCTGAGGACAGGGACTGAAACTCTGGCACGGGTGAGAACATTATTCATCTTCCTTGGCTGGTTGTTCAGCCCACTGGCATACAATCTTACATTGCAAGTGATAGCCATGCCTAACAGGAATGCATGATAACTTATCTAAAGGCTATATCTGTTGGGTCTGTATTATTATATTGCAGGTAAAAGGAATTTTTCAATTGACTGAAATAAAATGGAGATTTGGCACTGAGTGAGATTACTTATGAGTAGGATAAAGTAACTTTAGGTTTCAAAGGTACATCAGAGATATAGTAAATACACCTTTTATTATTAGATGCTGAAACCCATCCATGTGTATCAAGTCAGCCCAAAGCTTTTATACAACTCTCTCTAGTCTAGAGATTCCACTGCTGGAAAATGTTATGATAATTTTAAAAGGTAGATAGGTGATCATAACCTTAATATCTTTCCTTCAAAGGAAAATCAGCTCTTCCCCCAAAAGAAGTCTTATCAACTCTAAAAAACACAGCTAGTGAGTATCTCTTGCACTATCATTTAGTATGTGAAAGAAAATGTGAATTATTCCTCTGAAAATGCACTTCTATGTATGTCTAGTACAGTCAATATTCATTTAGTTGTGTTTCTCTCAATTGCTCTTAATCTATTGCAGAGAAAAATGGTTAGGAGGGAGAAAAGACTTTCAGAAGGACAGATACTCCCCACAACATACAATAGAAGGAGGTCTATAGGTGCTGGTTATTCCCTTGCCTGCACTCCTGAAAATGTCTATCTTACCTTTAAAGCTCTTTAAAACATACAATTTTCTTTCCTAGTGTGCTCAGAAAACACTTGACATCATTATATATACCATTATAAAAAACATCCATCATACACAGTTATTCCATGAATGTTGATTATTTCCTCTGACCAACCTGAAAAACTCTTCTAACTCCTTACACTTGTATCTGTCATCTTACATCTATTCATTTGTGCCTGACAAAGCTAAATGTGCTCTGCTCTTTTCATCTTTCCCTTAGCATCTTCTTGTAGTCTTTTATGTTCCTCCCTGTGTCCTCTTAGATGTGTCAACATTAGTGCTCACAGAAAAAGGGAAGACTTCAAGATGATCTAATAGATGGTTCTAAATCAGGAATTGGTTTGACAAAGTAACACAAGCTAGCCTGCACAGCCTGGCATGCTGTGCCCAGTCAGGCAAATGGCAGAAATCATCTTAGGAGACAGCCAGGCAATTCTGTGTTGAGAGAAAATTGAAGGAGACAGCGACATATCAGAGAGTAAAGGTAAAGATAAGCTTAAGAGGGACAGACTCTTTGGGATAAGTTGTCTTTCCTTGTGTAAATAATTCTTAAGCTTCTGCAAGACATCTAACTTCAGCAGCTGACATTTTATGTTACACTGAGGCAAAAAGTTTGCTAATGAAATCAAATATTATTTCCTTTCAAAGGAGCACAGAGTTGTTTCAGGAGTTCAGGGCAGGTTAAATATGACACATCTGAGATTTAATATTTGAAAAACTAGCTTTTCTAGCTAGAGATTCTGCAGATTTAATGTGCTTGATAAATCACTGTCATTGCTACAATGGGACTGACATAACAGGTATAGCAATAGAAGCCCAAAGGAAACACAACATGGTGAAGATGAATGATATGAAACAATATTTTTAATGGAAAGCAACTTGGACAGAAATCCCTTGAGCTGCTATGCTTTTTTATCACAGTTTTTAAAATGTATTGATTTTGCAGTAATTTTGAAACTGGTATGCAGATGTATATACTGTATACAGATATATACAGTAAGAATTTAGAAATATAAGTGTATCTGATATATAAGCATACGTTATTGAAGGTAAATTTGTTTTGTTTGCCTGAAACAATGCAATATATGTGAAAATAAAGTGCTAAATGCTGAGTTTTAAGCCCTGTACAGATTTGGATATTTCTGCAACACCCATCAAATTTTAAGCACAATAATGTAGAGTACAAGCAAAAGCTA